ATGAAATTATGAAAATTTTATATTTTTGTTTACATTTGTCAAATTATCAATAGCAAAAGTCAAAATGACATGACATTACAAACCTTGGCAATCTTGGTTCCTTGATGTTGGCAGCAACTAATGGTCTCTTTCTCACATTCCGGTTTTTATCCAAAATAACAACCTAAGTTTAATGGCGTGAAAATATAAAGCCTAAAGCGTGACGTAAGGGTAGGGCTTTTTATTAAAAAAAGAATTATTCCAAAATATGCTGTAATTGCTGACATCTTAGGCAACAAAGAAGTGTGTATTTACGCTTTATAATAGTATAGATTTTGTCAAGCTCTTGACTTGACCACGACTATGTGACCCCTCCCTGGTGCCAAAGCAGGATCCGCTCTTGAGGTTCATTATGACCAAATTATTCTCTTTGTGGTAAGGTGTATTTAAATTGCTCATCTTATAAGTACATATCCATAGCTATGTTAACTAAAATCGTTCCGAATAAGGGGCTCGAATTTTAATACTTTGTGGCGATGTATCTGGCATGCAGAAACCTCGACGGCGCATGTCAGTAAAGAGGAAGAAAAGGAATGATTTGAGGTCATTATGATAGTAGACTAGATCGAGGACGAATATATGTAAATAAAGAATTATTAACATACGAGTCTTTAACTTTTTAGGTAGCCCTAGCTGGGCCAGTGCGACATCGCAGATATGTCTAGGTTGCATCTTAAACTATACTAAAGAGGAAAGATCTGATTTCTTGGATATTTGTATACTAAAATAACTCAAAAACTACTAGGCCAATTTTAAATATTCTTTCAACATTATAAAGCTACGTTATCGGTATTCCGCGATGTTATTACATATATGTTTTTTACAATTTTATTTGGTTTTACGTGGTAGTCACGAGCAACAACTTTTAATAGAAGGATTGTTAGAGATTTAATTAGGATTCAAATGTAAATTTACCTCAAGTCGTTATCATCGATTCTTTTATCCTCGCATCAGTGTCACTAAACGCAGAGAATAACTGAAAGTGATTAAGGAAATACTGTGATTTAGATAATTAAATATTCTACTCAAATGAAAAGGCAAAAAGGTGATGCCAAGAGCAGGTGAAGATAAGATAATACTCGTTACTCGATAATAATACTCGAGAGTTTCAAATATTTGCTATGCTATATTTAATTATAAACTTGCAATAGAAGTTTATTCAATGCAAAAATAGTTATTCAATAGGAAAACGTTGAAAACAATACAAGTTGTTTGCTGTCAACATTTAGAAAATATACTAGCTTTTAAGCTAGATTAGGTTTAAAAAATAATTTAGTAAGTAGTCTTAATCTGCTTCCAGACTATGTTCTACATTTGTGGTAAATTTCTGCGAGTTCCGTTAGACCTTTACATAGTAACAAACATCCATCCATCCATCTAAACTCTCATATTGAGTTATATAAAAGTAGTCTTAATCTGCTTCCAGACTATGTTCTACATTTGTGGTAAATCTCTGCGAGATCCGTTAGAGGCTTAGGAGATACATAGTAACAAACATCCACCCATCCATCCAAATTATCGCATTTAGTTATATTAGTACGATTGCTACATGCAATTTAATATTGTAATTTTGCATATGAAAAAATTTAACACGTCTTTATAAACGCATTCACAAGTTTCTAACCAATTGTAAGAAGTAACATGTTATTGCACTTTCTCATTGTAACGTCAAATTGTTACACGTACGTATAGTGCGACAAACTTAACTGACCCGGTGATAGGCGATGTCATCGCGTTTAGTTCTCTCATCTATCTATCTACAAAAATAATAAAACTGGAGTGTCTGTAATATTAAAAAAAAACTTCCAGATTTCGAGAAAATGTATTTGCGTTGCTAATAACGAAAATCGCATTTTAAAAAAAATTGTCTGTCCGTCTGTAAGAAAGCCGCGTTTGTTCCGAGTAATCTCCGAAATGGCTGGGCCCATTTCGACGGGACTTTCACTGGAGGGTAGTTGGCATAGACGGGCATATTATAGGCTACTTTTTTTTTAATCTGCGTTGTCAATATGTAGTAATGGGTGGCCCAAATTTAAGCTAATAAAGTTTGCGGGCGTCAACTCGTATAAAAAATGAAAACCTATTTTATGCTTTAAAAATTACGAGCAAGACAAGCAATGACAAGATACAGAAGACAAGGATTTTTTGTCATTTTTTTATTGACAGAGGGCGTTAATATGCTGTTGCAATTTAATGTCACTTATCGGGTCAAATATGTTTGTGGGTCTATACTAAGTTTATATAACAAGATAGTCTGCACTTGTGCAACACCATAACTAAGGTTTAAAATAATTTTAGTGCTTTCAACGAATGCATAAACGTGGGAAAGTGATGGAATAGAATTTTATTACTATTATAAAATTCTTATTGCTTTCGTATGAACTCAAAACCATCTATTGAATCTGTGATAAAGCCTTGTTTGAGTGGAGATATAAAATCTATGTTATTCGCTATATTTTAAGAGCTTTTTATGATGAAACTAGTTTAGTTAATACTGACATAATGAAACCAAAGATATCTCAAATTCCTTTTACTTTGTGGTATTCATCCATAGAGAATCCATATAGTTGACGCACCAGGTTTTGTTCTACAGTGATCAGAACATCTCTGCTTTACAGTATTTTATATGTATACTTTATACTATGAAGAAGAAAGATATGTATTTTTGGATATTTGTATGTATTGAAATAACTCAAAAACTACTTGGCAGATTTAAAAAATTCTTAGATAATTAAAAAGCTCCGTTATTAGCGAGTAACATAGGTTTTTTATTATAAAGAGGAAAGATTTGTATTTGTATGCATTGTAATTACACAAAAACTACTTGACCGATTTCAATAATTATTTCACCAATATTTATCTACGTTACCGAGGCTATATTTGTTACAATATTTATTTCCGCACGGATGAAGACGCGAGCAACAACTACTCTTTAATATATACGGATTACAACAATAACTAAAGGCATGTACCATATTAGGTCTACAAAGAGAATTCTAAGCCCATTAAAATAGCAGAAGAATTATTTTTAAGGTCAAAGTCATGATTCATCCCCATAATACATTCTTCAATCTAATCAAGACGGTAGCTGACATTAACAAGAAGCATGTTTTTGTTGCATTTTTTACTGTTGACTTTTTATTGTTCGCCTTTCATAGTTGATTTTATATTATACAAAGTAATCTGAATCAGTCTTAGGTATTAATAATATGGTTATACCAATTGAATAAAGTATTGTTATATAAGACGTTATTTTAATATAGTTAGAAATCTGCCGCATTTAATAAGTGGTCACAAAAAGTCTCTCAGTATGATAGATTCTTTTTAAAAAAATATCTACAATACCTTCGCACAGCCCTTTCGAGGGCAAGTGTAGATTTTTTCAACTAAAGTAGTTTACATTTTTAATTATTGTATATTATGTTTTACGTCGCAATATAAAAGATAAATAATTTAATTTGACGACTCTATAATTTAACTAGTCTACGTAAATAGGATTTATTAAACATCAAGTGAACAAAACGAGAAAAAACACAGCGAGGGTACGAAGCTTTTTGTCTACAAGTATACTTTTGTTCAATTTGCATTGTGACCGGAATGGTGTTAAAATAAAACTCGTCGACCGAGCCGTCACCGGCTGACCTTGGGGCGGCGGATTCCTTAAGATGCGTATTTACTAGTCCAGGGGTGGCGAACATTTATGCATCAAAGTAACATTTTTTTAACAAATGTTTAATACGATTTTAGACGTGCTATCGAATAATTTTGACTAGTAATATTACTTCCATTCCATGGGGCACTTCTTAAGCTTTTCGTAGTGTTTTTATGATTTTCGACATGCTCTAATCATCGTGTGCCTTCATGGCACGCGTGCCAGTGGTTCACCACCCCTGCACTAGTTTAACCTGAAGGAAATTTTAATATTTATCACGGAAATTATTCTGTGAATTAATTAACAGCAGACAGACATACTTAACAGACATAATTAACAGACAAAAAGACGTTTGTATTTTAATAATAAATGACGTTGGTTAAAATATACGCTAGTAAAAAGAACTTTCAGCAATTTTTTAATCGAACTCAGGTTCCGTATACCTAATGAAGTTTGTTCTATGCTGTTCTATGCTTCCAAAGATGCGCAATTTGCCATAACAGCGCCTTAAGAGTGTAAGTTTATAAGTTTAACGAAAACTTAATTTTTCTATATAAAAGCTCGATTTTTATTTATCGTAAGTCTTTCTCTGTCACAAGTTACAATTTAAATAATGTATACTTTAAAACATTTGGATCGTTATTTAGAAACGGCATTTAATTACTAATTCACCGGGAAATCGCCGTTAAATTTACGCCAAAAAATGTAAAGGTCAAAAAATTAACAAATTAATTATTTACGAATTTTAACAGGACAAAGTGTTTAAAACATTTCCTGCTATTCGACCTAGACACCGGCAACGGCGCATTTCGTCTCCTCTATGACAAACTTTTGCGTCGAATAAATAATGTAAGACTCGTCGCGGACATGAGGAGAATTACAATAGTCCATTCAAATACACCGCAGAGTTCAATGCACACCGGCGTACACACCTTACAATTTTAAGAGGCACTTAAACATACTATAGTACGACTGACTTTTCTGGCCTAATGAGTAAGGAGTTCTGTCAGAAAATTCGGAAAAAACTAGTCTATCAAGGACTTTGTAGCACCTTTGACATTAATAAGACGAGTAATAATTAGATTACTCTACTATGTAGACAGACCTGTTGAGCCCAACTACAACTAGATTACAATCGCTTATACGCTCATATGACAAGTCAGCTAAAGTCTTGTCATCTTGTCAAGTAGGTTTAAAGGCTTTTATACGGGCCAAATAAGTGTATCGGACTATACTAGCTGGATGTACTATGAGGCTAATTTAAGAATGTCGTTATACTAGCAGAAAGAACAGAGTGGTAAACGCCAACATTCACCTGCGCCTGCGACGATTCACCAGTCTTACTTCGTATACCGTGATAGCCACTACCATAACACGCGTATTATTTTTATTTTATTTTTACGTTAGTGCGTGTTGCCAGTATCAACATAGTATATGTAAGTCATGTTTATTTTTTATTTTGAATGCAGCTTTAATTATTTCCATTTATATGTTTTATTCAAATTACCCATTAAAACATTTTGTGTAAATATATGCATTATTATTTTCTATTTAATAAAATTTTATGTTAATTTATTATTAAATTAATCACAATTAAAAGAAGCGTGTTCAATTAATCAACATTTGCCACAACTTTGCAAAATATATGTAATATTTATAGCTTATGTTATATGATCGTAACATATTATGTCACATACGTGAATGTATAGACAGTGAAAGTCGTATTAGCTTTAAAGCCCGCTAAGGAGAGACATCAAAGTCCAGTTAGAAACCGTATTTGTAGCACATAACGGTAAGCGTCATTTAAAATCAATATAGAAGACGATTTGATAATAAGACCTTCATAAGAATCTGAGGTTACGTTTAAACTAGATCAAGGCTGGTTACTGGTATTAATTTATTTATTTAAAAAATGATGACAAAATTAATAATTAAATTAATCAGAGAATCTCGTGAAAGCCGAAAATGAAAAATTATTAAAATATTTGGATTTGGCTCACGAGATTACCGCCATGTGGCGTATGAAATCGACTACCATTATTCCGATAGTCGTTTCGGTACACGGGCTAAAAGCGAAGAGCTTCGAACAACATCTCAAGAAGCTCTCGCTAGACAGTTGGATTAAGGGCCCGATACAAAAGGCGGTTATTTTAGAAACCGCACGTATAGTGAGGAAGTTCCTGTCGCTGCAGCCCTGACCACTGGTTGCTTGTCATCGGATTTCGCAGCCGGTGGAGTTCCATTTTTTTATATAATATGCTTTATTTATTTTTTAAATATATAAAAATCATGTAGAATATATTATATGTAATAATAAATAATTAAAGATATATAAAAGTTAATCAAATTAACAATCTAATTAACACCTGAATTTGAACAGCTTCGACGTAACCCTATCTCGTTTAATTTAAAAGATTATATTGTAATTGGCTACACATTAATTAAGCGGAGAAATCTTTGAAATTACCTGCCTGAATTATAAGATCTAATTAAAACGTCCTAAAAGTATATAAGATTGTATTGCATAGAATCTAATCTAATTAATAAAAGTTAAAAGAACAATGCTCTGTTCGAACATGACTCTAAACTCAGTCATTATGACTGAGGGTTAATCAGTTCAGATATTCAGTTTCTTTTATAATAAACAAGCCACTTTTATTATATCTTATAAAAAACAAAAGTAAGTAGCCTGTGTGTCCTGCCAGATCGTCTTCTATTATCTATGGTAAATTTCATCGAGATCCGTTCAGCAGTTTAGGCTACAAACTCTAACAAACATCCATCCAACGCATTTACGATATTAGTAAGATAAAAAATTGATCATGTTTCTTGTATAATATTCTAGAAGTAAATTACGAATCTTGTAGTTATTTATGTTAGATGTTTATTTAATGTCGTTTACATTATGTTGAACTGTCCGGAATCCGGTCTCCTATTGCAAAATTGACAACATACGGTTACGTCTAAGTAAATGTTATGATTTTCAGTAGTTCATGTCTTGTAAAATAAATAATTTATTAATAACTAGTTTTCGTCAGCGACTCCATCCGCGTGGAATGGAGTATTGACCAAGCTCCTGTCGTCAGATTAACAATATAAAAGCAAGACTAGTACTAACCAGAAAACCCTAAGTTAAAGCTTATCTAATAGTCAAATGTCGGCTAAGTATAAAATTAAGGTAACGATTGCTGTACTTTGAGTACCAAAGTAGCACTATACTGTCTTAATTACTAGCTCTTGCCCGCAACTTCATCCACGTAAAAAAAATACAGCCTGTTAGTCAGCGATAACGTAAGATTTTTTCAAATCGTCCTAGTAATTTTTGAGTTATTTCAATACACACAAATCTTTCCTCTTATATTGTAGTATAGATATAGATTACTAGCTGTTCCCGTGCGACTTCATCCGCATGAAATTATGAAAATTCTATTTATTGTTTATATTTGTCAAATTATCAATTACAAATGTCAAAATGACATGACAACCTTGTTTTCTCGATGTTGGCAGCAACTTATGGTCTCTTTCCCACATTAGGGTTTTTATCCAAAATATTTACCCCCTAAGTTTAATGGCGTGAAAACATATAGCCTAAAGCGTGACGTAAGTGTAGGGCTTTTTATAAAAAAAAGAATTATTCAAAAATATGCTGTAATTGCTGACATCTTAGGCAACAAAGAAGTATATGTTTACGCTTTATTATAATAGTATAGATAATTAAAATAACTTTTAACATAATAATAGTGATATCCTAGTGTTTGAAAGAAGTCAATCATACGTTTATATCTCGTAATAAATCCGTACAAAGCCGACAAGGGACGCGTTAACGTCTCTCGATATTCTTCCTTTATCCCTCATCAAAGTTTTATGACAAAAGTAAAATGTCTATTTATATTTATGAACGTCCAAATGTACGTTATACGGTTACAAATTATCAGGATAATACTCCTATTTCAAACGATTATGTTTTTTATTCCAGAGGTTGACAACTTATGGTGCAAAATGGATCTTTGATTCGAAAAGTTTGTTATCTCTGGATTAAGAAATCACCATTTACAAAAATTGTTTTGATTATCTGTAATAAGTAATTGTCATTTTGTGACTAATAACTAAATTTCAAACCAAAAGTAATTATTATAAAACATAGGCTTTGTTTATTAATTTATGGTCTATTTAGATTTAACTAATTCCATTTACGAAACAAAGAACTACAAACAAAAACGTACAGACGAATTGATTACCTACTTCTTTTGGGAAGTCGGTCAATAAAAGCTACAAGACTTCAAAGTAATTTAAAATCGTAATCTGTCAACAAACATTGCCAAATACAACGGAGTCTAACATTACGTAAAAGTACGATAACTGTTCAACTGCCTAATACATTGCTGCATTAATTCCCATCGCGTTCACAACATCACCTAAATAGCCATCAATGGTGTGCGAACGTAACGTTAGTAATGTGCTAATAATTCGGACAGTACGCGGTCAGTATTTTTTTTGATTCGCATCGTGTTATACAACGGAAAAACTTAAATGTCATTCTTAAAGTTGACTTCTACTGGCAAATAATATTTTCAGTTTTCAAAGGGGAACTAATGTTCAATCCGTAGTGGAAGCCATGCTTCATTTATTAATTCGATTTCAAGCTTTCATTGGAAATTTATAAATTAAGGTAACTTATTATATTAAAAACCACTCATACACTAAAAAGGAAATATTAAGTTCAGTGAACTTGAAATAAGGAATCGATTTTAATTATTAATTTACTATTAATCGGCTACGTTAGTAAATTTTATAGGTTAAGAGTTATATTTACCTATACGTAACTTACTTAAAAAGATCCTTAAAAAAATCTTTGTATTATTTACACGTGTACCAATATAATTAAATCGCAGAAACGTTGACATTAAAACTGTGTCAAGACCATCAAAGCCTTAGAATTCATTCGCTATCTTCCGATGATATAACATTCGGTAACTTCATTCTCCACCAATCGAAGGCCTGTTTGAAATAAGCCATTGAATACTAATTCCATTGTAAATGTACTTCCCATCAAAGGAATATGACCTTACTAATATTATAAATGCGAAAGTTTAGATGGGTGGATGTTTGTTAGAGTTTGTAGCCTAAATGGCTTGACGGTGAAATTTGACATAGATGTAGAGGATAGTCTAGAAGAACACATAACTACTTTTGTTTTTTCTAATTTCACGCGAACGGAGTTGCGGACGAAAGCTAGTACAGTTACAAATCTCAGTTCCTAAACTATATATTCATAAAGCCTGTTCACACTACAGACTTTATTCGGCCGATAGTTTGATCGGTCTGGGTAGTCGAGCCAAAATCATATAAAACAAAATCGACTTAATGTACGCGTCTCCATACCAGTTTCTACTCACCATCCATGGACCGACTGACAGGTCACACGAGCCGACTCGCCGGAGGGTGCGCCGCTTGGCCTTTAATCGGCTCCGTTTTATTCCATATTGTTACTAACCAAGCGTCCAACTAAACTGTCAGCCGATTAAAAGTCTGGAGGACAGGAGTCACTGGGAGAGTTGCGTGGTTTATTGAACATATAGTCGGAAACGACTACGTTTTATTTATTCTTCATTAGAAAAGTGTTTTATTAAGAACTAGCTTTCGCTCGCAACTCCGTCCGCGTGGTATTAAAAAAAAACAAATAGCGCATGTGTTCATTAAGACTATCCTACATCTATGCCAAATTTCTAACAAGCATCCATCCATCCATCTAAACTTTTGAATAATACTAGTTAGTTAAATTATTTAAACTTTCGTGATACATCTTGCATCTAATTATTTTACGGCTATTACTCACGTCTACTTTTTTCGGTGACGGTGCCGACCATTTTCAGACCCTTTCGAACCCCCACTTCTTCACGTCACCGAAAAAAGTAGACGAGAGTATTAGCCGTAAAATAATTAGTTAGTTTTCAAAAGTGTACGTTATTAAGATTTGACGCTGTATATTGGTTTACATTGAATCATTTCTGTTACGGTTATGGATTTAGCATCCAGTTTCACTATTAATAATTCATTAGCAGCCGTTTGAAACGCTAACGATGTTTGCTGTTTTAAATTAACTACTTTTAAATTGACAGGTATTTTTAGCATCGCGATAATTAAATTTGATAAAATTTTATTAGCAATTTCTTTAATAGATTCTTTTTGTTACATAACTATTTTAATAAAAATTCGGAAACATGGTAAACTAATACATTAATACAATTAATAAGTAAAGGAAATATATGTAGCTCAGTTAATAATTTAATTTCTAGAAGAAAACTTTTCCACTTAACAACTAACCAAAAGACGTGAGTCGGCTGTGACAGTGGAAATCTTTCTTACTAGTGTTATAAATGCGAAAATTTAGATTGATGGATGTTTGTTAGAGTTAACAGACTAAACAGCAAAACAG